TTTTTTTTTTTTTTTTCAAATGGCTAGGCTTTTGCTTTGTTCTCACTCCGTATGCACATTTCACGGTTAAGATTTTATGGTCAGAAAAAACAGAAAAATACAGAAAACGCAGCTATATGCAAAACTTGGGAAAAATGGTAGGGGAAGTCGCATAGGTATATTGTGCCCCCGTTTTTTTTTGACAAGCTAGCGTGGGGAAGGGGCAGCGTTTGTCGCGGGGAAAAAACCCATAGGGTCAGGCCCACATGGATGAAGCCACGTGAAGCGGTAGCTGCTGACCTAATCCTGCTTCAGCTCGAGCGTGGTTGTTTTGACACCCATCTGGTCGATAATATATATTTCTGTTTTGTCTCCAGTGTATATGTCCCTCTCCGTGGCTGAGGTAATGGCGTCTTTAACAAAATCAATGTCGTCCCTCAGGTTGAAGTTTAGGTTTTTGATTAACTGGTTCTTCTGTTCCATTCGGTTGTCTAGTATTGGGAAGATCAGTGCTGCTCCGCTTCCAACACAGGAGTGTGTGGCTGCGCAGTAGGATCCAATGGCATCGTAATTGTACAGAACTCCCTGGTTGTCGTTACTCACTCCTGCCAACAGGTTAAATGTGTAGTAGGGGAAAAATCTTCTGCTATAAAGGATTACGCATAGGAGCCTTGCTATGACGTGAATGTCCGGATAGTGTCCGTGTTCCAGGACGAAGAGCTCGATTTTTTTCTGCACAAGGGGGAGGGTGGCGGTGAAGGTGGGTAAGCTTGGCACCGGGCGGTGGGGGAGGACAATTGATCAGGCCTCCCATTGGATCAAGCTTCACAGTTGGTCTCTCTCTTAGCTCTTCGCGTAACTCCCTCTTCTTACCTTCAACAACGAGTGCAGCGTCTTTATGTCGGACTGCATCCCGGAGGAGCCGATAATACACTTATCCGTTCTGCGGAGAGGGGAAAGGAGGGACAATGCGGCATTATATGAGTGGCCTTCACACAGCTCGCTTGGGGCAGAAGCTGCTTTCCACATCGCGCCCTCGCCCAATCAACAACAGACGAGCAAAAAAAAAGAAGAAGCAAAACGACGCAAAAAGAAATGGAGAGCAAAAACCACGCTGCTTACAATTTTGATATTTTGGGACAGTGTCTCGTGTAAATCGAGTATGACAGGGACAGTCTCGTGTCTGCTGCTAAGATGACGTAGTCCTTGCCGGTCACTCCAATAACAGTTCTGTTAAAAAGGGAGGTATTAAAAAAAAAAAAAAAAAAAGAAGTGAACATGCATGTGTAACGTTTTGCTATGGGTATGATTTATCTCATTTGTGGGGATGAAGAGGCGACAACACCCATCGTGCAGGGAGAAGCGGTTGAGTAATTCTTGTTCGCTAAGAGGTGTGCTGCTCATTTGGTATAGGAGATCCCACTGCTATGTCTCCTTGGTGTAATGGCCGTGGCTATATCCCTTTTCTTCTTCACTGTGCTGTGTGGGTATCATTCCCCAATCACTTTCACTCTCCCCTCAAAGGCCGATATTCTGCCACTGAATTATCGCTCTCTCCTTTAGCATACCCTCCATTGTCAACGTAAGGATTCCAGCGCTTAAAACCGCGGCCATGTTCCAGTGGGCCTTCCCGCTCCTCTGGCTTCTTCTCCCCTGAGTAGTCACTTAGCGGCAGGATTTCCATCTTGGCGCGTGGGAGTCCTTGGAACGAGAAGGAAGGGTGTGATGTGCTGGGCAGCTGACTTGCTGGGACTTCTCGCGCACATGTGAATGGGTGAAACGGTGAGGCGTTGCAATGTGATTTTCGTTTGCCACACAAAGAGAACACCTCTTTTGTGATTCCTCCTTTGTTATTTCTCTCTTGTGATTTCTTCTTTTGTGACCCTTTTTTTTTTTTTTTTTTTTTTTTTTTTTTTTTTTTTTTGCAGTGCAGTGAACTGCTTGGAAGCTATTCACAGCTAGGATGGTAATTTTTTTTTTTTTTTTAAACCTAAATGGATACCCACACTGCACAGAGTTTTGCAATCCCGAGTTGTACACATATGACGCGCGTACCGTCGGCATGACCGCCTTTACACCTAACGGTGCCTTCCCAGGTTGGTTAAACGTCGCACGCATAATAATGGTTGTTTTTTTTTTTTGCTTCCGATGATCTAATTTAGAATCAGCGGGAACGAGCGGTGAGTGGCAAAGGGTACTGTACCTGGCATGGGTAAGTGTTAGTAGTATTGTATCCCTACCCCCATGCATAGGGATACACGATAATTGGTGAAGAGCAGACTCTCCCTTTTCGCAATGTATGCATTTCGTGCGGAAAGACCAATCGGTCTGGGTGTTTACACTCATTCTGCTATCTGTTAAATGTAACTAGGATGATGCTTCTTTTTTTTTTTTTTTTCCTCTCTTTATTTGACTCACTTGGTTGGACATGAAATTGAGGAGATACTGAGCAAAGGGTGGGATAACTCCCATTAACGAATAACATCGAATAAACAACCGTCTCGCATAACGGTAAAGGGAAAAAAGAAAAAAAAAAAAGTGCAAGTGCAAAGTTACCAAAGGGGGACATATACATTCGTACACGTTACACCCTCTGAGTGCGTGTAGAGGAGGGATTACAAAAAAAAAAAAAAAAAAAAAAAAAAAAAAAAAAAAAAAAAGGACGGCAAGTCAGCGTCAAAAAAAAGGGGGGGAGTGCTGTATGGACAAGCAGATTTGTTTCTCATCTTGGACCTTTACTCCCAGGAGTGACCCACTGTGGAGGCGCTTCTATTCTACCCCCCGCGCGGAGTCTGAAAATTGTGAGCATCATTCGCGGGCTTGAGGAACATAATGTTTGTTCTGTGTGGAGTGGTGTAGTTAAACAAATTATAGGGTTTCACAACGGGGGCTGGACGGTTTGTGCATTTACTAGGACATTTGGCCCCATGATGGTTCCCTCCGTGGGTGCGTCCCGCCTTCTTATTATCTGTCCCTATTCCGACTTGGCCCCGAACATGGGTTCTGCGTAAGTAGCGCTCGACGGCCAAGGATATGGAGTGTCTATATAGATTATACTCCTCTGATGACACAAACAAATTATAATCGATGAGGTGGAGAAAGGTACCCTCGAGTTTGTTAATCTCTTCAGTAGAAACTCCTCCGACCTTGGCATAAAAGGCATTGGAGTAGTATAAGTCATCGAAAAATTTCGCAGCAATCATTATGGCCGTTATAAGCAATCTATGGATGCAGAGAAGAGACAAAGTAATATCTGAATTTATTTTAACAATTCTGTCTAGGTATATCATTAGAAGGACAAAACATTCATTGCTGCATCCTGTGTATTTTCCAATTCGTTCCACATAATTTTTAATTGATATGTCTGGTACTTTGGATGCATGGAAGCTGGTGATTTTTCCTTTTCCTCTGTTTATTTTAATCATATTTTCTAAAACGATTGGAAGGTAGGAAATGTACCTTTTGTCTGTCCTTGGCACATCTGCTTCTGTATCATAGTCGTCCATTTTGTCCACCTGTATGATTCATGCTTTTACACGTTTACACACACTAATGTGTTTGGCACCCTCGTGGGAGAGCTAGCCCTCATATGGGAAGACCAAACAGTTATATGGAGCGTCATCACTGTGTCGCTCATGTCTTCACGATGGTGCGCTTGCTAGGTGCCGCGATCACATCGTTTAACGTTTGGGCGATTTGCCGTTCAGACGATTTGCGGTTCAGACGATTTGCCGTTTGATAACTGAGCACAAAGAGCATGATCTACATGCGCCCAATTTTGGAAAATCGAATGGTCACTTGGAAGTTCTTACCGCAGTTGCGTATGCGCACGGAAGGAAAAAAAAAAAAAAAAAAAAAA